TGACATAGATTTCATTACACTGTAATCTCATTAGACTGTCTTGATGTCGATTTTTAAGTATTAATTTTCATTTAACTATTATTTTGAAAAATGCCATTTAATGCATTTTCAGGGACGTAGCATCAGAAATTTCATTTTTTCCCCAACATAACCTTTACTGTAGTAAATGTTCAGTGATAGGATGGTTGGCCTCCCCACTTTATGACCATCGTATAGTGATAGCAAGGTTTGTAAGGAAAAAATTGGAAGTGATGGTAAGTTGGCTTTGAAAAGTTGGCCACTACCCCCCCCCCCCCCCCCCCCCCCACGAAATAATTTTCGAGTTTGTGTAACTTTAAATTTTTTTTTTTTTTTTTTTTTTTTTTTGCTTGTCAACTTTTTCAGGTAAGTAAAAAAATTTTTATGAGGTTGGCCCCCCCACTTTCAAAAACGATGCTACGTGCCTGATTTTATAAATAGAGTGGATGCTCTCCTTTTTCTTTCAAAAAGTTAATCAACCTAAATGCAAATTTCTATCTCTTGTTGTGCTTTTGGTAAGAAAGAATGAATGTTACTGTAAGGTTCTTTCTAAGGTAAGTAATTATCAAAAGAGTCATTGATTTTACATGTATATGTTGTGTAAGGTCGAATCCAATTTTGAACTCCTACTGGGACGCCATTATATATATACCGTTGAAGGGTTTCAAATTTAAACACTCAAGGCTATTGAGCAGTGAGGGTTCTTTAAATATGATTATGGGCCTTGGTTTTCATAGTCTCATCCGTAAGACCTCCATACCTTATGCCGGCTTATTGAAGAAAGAAAGTCACCACCTATGTTTGAGGTTTTACGTAAAGTGGCAAAGAATCGAATACGATTCTCCCGATGAAGAAGAGAGAAGATGTTTCATTTTTAGTCCGCGTCAAAGTAGTTGACGGTCATTTACACATTTTCTTATGGTTCGCCTCAAGGCTGAGCCCGACACCTCATGCAAATGTGTAGAGTTGGCCAATTAATAGAAGTATCTTGGTAAGCAGGGAAGACATGAACATGTCATTGTCCTTTGGAGACAATCAATTAAATGTGCTTTTGGTCATCCGATGAAGTTGATATGATAAATGAGAATAATACATGACGTGAACACGCTCTTCATGGTAAAATTACCGAATCGATACACTCATTTACTTATTTTCGCTTTATGTTTAATTTTGGCCTATAACAGGGGGAATTTGATAAAAACATTTTGATTTTTTTGATCCCTTTGTTTAAATGAATGTTTCTTTAGAGAAAGACATGACACATTATTTTAACACTTTAAGATTCTAAACCAACGCTATAAGTACAAAGACATCATTTTTCAATGGTTAAAAAGATACTGGTATATTTAAAGATAATTAAATGCATGTAAAAAAATATTGAAGAAAATATAAATATTAGACATACTTATACAAGTTAAATGTATAAGTTTAACTGCATACTACATGTACGTGTACTTAATTTTTCATTTAAGTTTTTAAAAAATAGAATAATGAACCGGACAAAAACTTGTATTTAATTAATAATAAGGATGGCAGGAGAAAGGTAGATTTCTGAACGTCTGAGTCTTTTGTTAAGAAGACTTTATGCACATGGCCCAAGACATCAATCTGACTCTGCCATAAGAATTGGCAGAAACCGTCGCATTTTGTGCAGACTCTAATGCACATTGATGCACGATTGAATTAAAACGGCATCTTAACGGCATCCCAAGGAGACATATACAAATGTAGCATGGAAACAAATTCTGTTGAACAGAGCTTACAGTGTGTTTGCCTATCCGATTCGAAACATAACAGGAAGAATATTGAATCTGGAGATAAAAGTATACCTTTTTAAGTAGGGTTAACAAAACTCGTAATAAGGGTCAGTTTTTGTTACCGCTTACATAGCCTAAATTATTATTACATGTAAAAAAAACTTATTTACTACTTGAGGACGCTCTAAACACTGTACACAAAAGATTTCTATTTATTGCGTAGTTTTATACAGTTAGAGTGATTGCCCGTAGGGGTAAAATTAAAAAAAAACCAGTTATTTATCATTAATTACGTAATTTATAATAGATTGAAATATTTTTAATATTCTATTCTAAATCCATTCATTACTTTCAAATGAAAGTACAATAAACAACAAACACACCGTTTGGACATAGCAACGACACGCAGTAGCTTTATTTGTAGTGTACATAACATATGTAAAATTTTAAAATCAATTTGTATATATACATGTTTATGTTGGATTGAATAAATCATGATAAAATTTAACTTTATCGTGCTCTACGTGTCGTCCTAAACTGGTATTTAAACCACTGTTCACCTCTTATATAGCCTTGCTAACGAGACCGGTTCTAAAGAACCACGTGATATTCACTAGGTATTCGAATGAAAACCTTGTAATTCCGAAAAAGTCATTCATTATCACACCAAGTAGAAATTGATTTCTGTCTAATTCGTTCCTCAGACGAAAGAAATCATATTTATATAAGACCAAGAGTAAGAAATTTAATTAATTATTTTCATTAATTTTCCCAATGTAAGTAAACAACAGTGATTTCCGCTCACAAATAGTTCATTGTCTTTGAAAATTTTTCTTGCACAAATAAGGCACGCACCCTATGTTTTAAATGAATGAAAAAGTCTCAATCTGCATATCTTTATATGATATATTTTTCTCTGAGCCTTAAACAGTTTCCATTAGTGTTTAGAGCTTCTTTAACCTGAAAAAAAGAAAATAGCATGTATAGTTAGCTAAATATTCTGCAGAATCTATAACTTACATGTACATGTGGTAACCAATTCTTAACCAAGTAAGTCAGGTATTCATAAAATAAAGTACAGTAAATAGTTGTTTTGAACATATTTTATTGTATAATTCATACAAAGAGGTTGGTAACAAGTTCTTACAACTTAGAAAAACCTTTCCTTGTAATATACACAATAATTATAATTAGTGATTGCCAAAAGAGTAATTAACAATTGAAGATGTAAAGTTATACATATATAGTAAATATCCCACCTCTGGAATTCCGGGCTCCATATTTATGCTCTAATCAAAGATTTGAATTGTTTGTAGATGTAAAAATATATATAGTCAAAGATATAAATCAATATTTATTCTTTTATTGGATTTTTATAGAGAAGTTGCAAGTATAAGGAAGTGTACTTAAATGTTTGTGCTTTAGCTCTCTCTCAATGTGGTGTTGTGGTCATGCATAATTAACGTAAGTACGATAAGTCGCAGTAGACCATTCACATTAATTTAAGAATCCCTCGGAGGAGGTTGATGCCTTCTTTTTTGTTAATAAAATGTAGATATTGCTTTTTTTATGTTTAATATTGTTTTTGGTTAATACTATCATTATTTTATTATTGTTGTAAAGAAGGATAAATTTCATGTGAAGAAAGCATAAAGGGGGTCGTTCACACCGATATACTTGTAATCACACTACATACATGACTGTAGAGAAATATAGTTTTATTTTTTTCTTTTCTTTCATTTTGTATATGCGTTATGTGCATTGGACTTGCATTCTTTGAACTTATCAGAAGAATTCACATCAAGCTTCTTCTTTGAAATTATTAAATATATGCAGCCACTTTATTAAGGTTATCCTTGAAAAAAGAAGTATCATAGTCAAATGTAGAGCAAACTTTAAAAAAAAAATTATCAAATATTCATCATTAAACTATTTCCAAATTTAATTCTATGCTGATTAATCAGGCACTGAACCCCCACTCCATCCATAAATAATTAAATAAATAAATTTTTAAAGTGTACTCTTGAAAGTCATTGAAGAAGAAAATAATTGCATTTTTTCCCCTAAAATAAGTACAAAACTATTATACCAATTAACAGTTTCACAAACCTATCCTCGCACCATTCGACGATTAACTGAATACTTGTTGACTTGTAAACATTTAAATTACCAAAAATGCATTCTTTCAAAAGGGAAGTCTCAGTTTAAGGCTGTTTAACTTGTATTGCATCTTACAACTATATGACTCGTAGCATGAAACAATAAAAATGGAATCAATATAAAATACACATGTCTTAATACTGAAGCTACCCATTAAATGGCAAAAAATATTGATGATAAAGTATGGAAAAAATGGTTGCCACTGCATGATTTCGATCAAGTGAATTACCTTAGAACAGACAATGCTTTTCTTTTATCAGTTTGATTTCTTCTTTTTATATTGTCGCTAATGCTGCCTTTATATTCTTTGGGGGCTACATATCGAATGTTACAATCTATACAAAGATTGAAGGAGAGAGGGATCTGATCAATACATAGTGTTGGGGATTATGTACAGTTGATAGTGTTTGGAAGCTTTTTTTCTTGTAAAACAGCTCGGAAAAATGAAAATTATCATCGTCATCAAGTTTAGATGGTTACCAAAAGAATTTAGGCTTAGTTCTACTTCAACATAGAAAGACTCTTTCAGGCACGTTGGCGTTTTATTGACATTTTGGGATGCAGAAAGAATAAAAAAAAAAAAAAGCTAGTGACTGTTGAGGAAAAGGGAATTTAGACATATTGTGGCAGGTTTGGGAATTTTAATATTCTTCTTTCAGGGGCCCGATATGCTGCTGGTCTGGCAGTAATTTTGTTAATGCTAAATATCATGCATAAATCACGTAATAGGGGATTTATTATCTGGTTGAAACCACTGCCTGTTATTTTTGTTCGATACTTTCCACAGCGGTTAGGAAGAGACATAGTCACATCCTCCTATGGAATGGACTGTTTTTAGATGGAACATAACAATGCATTACCATCCGGATTCCATGTCACTACAAATTAAAGTGATCGATAAGACACTATTAATTGGATTGGACTTGTCATTAAACTTTAAGGAAGCAGGTTATATATATAGGAATGCCATTTGTTCTTATCCACAGGAAAGGCTTTAGTTACTAAGTCATCCAAACGTCTAATGGTATTAATGTAAGATTACCTATTGATTTTGAAAAGAAAGCATTTGTCTTCAGGAAGAAAAATGTATCTCTTAGAATCCTGTGACTGGATTTGGTAAGCGTCACAGTTAGAAGGTGAAGAAACTGATATGCAGTTTTTCTGCTTTGACATATTACTGTTGCCATCGAGATGGGACTCATTTGGAGTATCGAGGTGACATCAAATGATATTATTATCGCTAATGGTGAATCGCAATCAGTGATGCATAATTTAGTCCTGTGATTCTCCAGGCGATAACAGAACTTAAATTCTGTGGAGTGCAACTGGTACATACTATAACTTGGTAACAAATACCGAACGGACTTTTCTAGAGTTACACTTGGATCTTATTCGTGATGTCCATGAAGTATTTGGAATATATATTGATGTGATATTTTTTCCCTACTTTGGTTGAGTTGACCTCAGGATGGCTTGGTCTTGCATCAACACAGGGACATCCAGGTAAATTAGGACATCGATCTCAATCATTCTCATGCATGCAATCAATAATAAGCTCACGGGAGGTTTTCATACTAATCGCGCGTCTTTGATTTTACCTAAGCCTCTCCAAACTTTCATTGTCCTGGGACTTGTTCGGATTGATTTTCTGATTTTCTAACATTAAGTGGAAATAAAAGAGTTTTTTGATGCAGTTGGAGACAAATAGATTGATTTATTTGATTTCATTGTGAAGTCATGGTCATTAGGGAAATGGGGTTTTTAAAATGAAATTAGGTAGCTGATGAAGAAAACATCTACCCCATAAAAGTCAACAATTTATTGTTTAAGACCATTTAAGAAAAGTGATCCGCTAAACGTCTAAAAAGGGGCGGAAACCATTATTGTAGTTCTGTGCAAAGTTTGATTTCGGTACAAGGACATTCCGAATGTATGTTCGATATCCCTTTCTTCCGTGTTCTTTTTGTTGAGAGGATTATGAAATTGCATAGACCAAAACTTCCGTGCCAAGGAGAATTGAAAAGAAATGACTTATTAAAGATGCCCTTGAGAATTTGGAGTCACGAAGCTATAGTTTTTAAGGTTGATTCCGTGATTGATTTAATTGTTACGAGACTAACAAAGACAAATTTAGTTTTGTGTATTTCAAAATTATATCAACCTCCTTGAAAATCTCAGTCGAAAAACTGTTCTGCATTTAGTCAGAGTGATGATAAAATCAAATCGTTAAACTTAACTAATTGTTGACACTTCTACAGAAATGTTGGCGTTCATTATTCTAACAGTACATTCAGGTGGTACTTTCTTTAGTAGAAAGATAATAGATTAAAGAATGGCAGTTAAATGTATTCTCCTTTTGGTGCAACCAGATCCATTTTTCTACACAATATGTATAAAAATAAGAATTAACCAAGATGGTACATCATCAATTGCTATATCATTTCTCCTCGGATCATGCTTAAGTGATGATTATACACTACGGTACCTCTGATTGTCATTTCTAATGCCTTTGACCGTCATTTTACCCAGGGACTTGTAGGATACGATGCTGATATGGGGACAATCGATGTGTAAGACAGTATTTTCAGAGATAATTACTGGAAAAGCGAAGACTAAAGAGCCAGTTTATGGGTTCATCACAAAAATGTGATTCATCACATTTATCATTTTTTAACACATGCAAATAGTTCAGTAAATAACTTGAAGTAAGTTCAATTGATGTTTTGCAACTTACTGTAAGATTTCATTGCAAAAAAGAGAAATAGCGTTAAGTTCTTCCATCGTTATATTGAATGTAGCTAATAGAGTTTTGAAATAATACAGATTTATATCGATTTGATATTCATACTTCGATTAAAATACAAGCGCACGCTCAAATTAAAATATTTTATAAAATCCTTTTAGAAATCGCTGCAACAGCTTTACATTATTATGAAAATGGTCTTTGCCAGATGACAGATGTTGACGCTAAGTTTTCAAGCATGTTTCTTCTCTAACAGTAAAAAGAGCTACTGATGGATGGAAGCCAAACTCAGAACAAATTAGACTGTGGTATACAGTAATGTCAATGTTTCACGCAACCCCGTGGCTAAGAGCTGATAATTCAGGAGGAGAAAAACCAACAAATTGGCTTTTTGCTATGCTTATCCTTGCCCTGTTGATACATATGTCAGAAAGCTATGATTGATTAAGGAAAAGGGGGATTTTATTTGCAAGACAGCTATATTAGGAATATATCATCCACTTGATTGCCAAGCTGTAGTCTCTTTTAGCAGAAACCACATTTAAAAAAAATAGTAAGTTGTTTTAACATTTAAGTAAATAGAAAATATCATGATAGATAGTATTTAAATAACCTATATTAGTTCCATTTCGAGTATACATAATTTAAGTCAATACCTGTGTGTTTGATTTTTTGATGAATTTATTTGAATGCATTTTTAAAAACAAATTTTCCGAGAGAGACATTTTTTTTAACTTTATTTGAAAGGGTTTTTGTAAGGTTTACCCAAATACACTTGTAACTTTTTTCTTTGATAAAAAATTTCCTTATATGCTATTCCTTTTTACATGACTTGTATCAAATGAAAATAATACATCTGAAAAATATATTCTACTTTTGTGTCTTGGGAGAATTCCTTTTCAAAAATTGCTTTTCTTTTGTTTTAAAGTTGTTTGGTATATTTTGATGACCCTCTCTTTAAGTCCCCAATTTAATAAATCTTAAACATGTATCGTTCAAGATATATTGTCATATTGAGATAATCTAGTCGTTTGGTATATGATATCACAAATGATATTTCAATTTACAAAGCAAAAACACACATTAAGTCTCATGAATATAAACTGTACAGTAAAAGAATTTTTTTATTGCTAAACGTCATTGCCTTTATGGAACATTCAAAATTCGAAAAATGAATGGGAAAATGAGCGTTTTATAGTTTGCACTGCTAATGTTAAACATTTTTTTGTATATTATATCCTAAAGGGCTTTTATACTGCCATGTTGTGAATTCTCAATTTACTGCCAGCCAGTAAATTCAAAATTTACAACAAAATATTTCACTTAGATAATTAACCAAAATCTGATTCCAGATTCGTATTAATGGGAAAACTATTTTTAAATTCTAGAATATGAGTTTCCTAGGAGGAAAAAAAATATGCATGCTATTAAACTTGCAAAAAAAGTGGTTGTAACCAGTCATCAGGGCATGCTTTCTTCTTCTCCGCACCGTATTTACTTTAGACATTTCCATAGATCCATATTGTGTTATATGTTGACAGGTTTTTATTGCTTGAAATAATTTTCTGAGGGATAACTGTAAATTGTATTCAGTCTTTTTAGTTTTGGTCGGAGTTAAAGTCACATTTGAGTAGGTGCAGCAATATATATTTTTGGTCTTATCATTCGAATATGCGTCATATTTTGGTTTGTTCCATCAAGGGTTGTGTTGACTTCCTATCCCTGTTGTTTCAAAACTCATGAAATTAAAGGGGTACTTAAGCTTCACAGTACTTCCACTGTATGTGATACCTGGTAAGTTTTGAAGGTCTATGTCATGAAACTTCTATATTAAGGTTTCATATTGTTTTTCAACCCAAGGAAACCAGGGGAGAATGATTTCTCATGATGAGAAACTCACACGCGGCTTTGAAAGTAAAAAAAATATGGTCATAAAGGTGTCAGCACTGTGTATAATGAATTTGAGTTTCAATGTGGATTCCATTCAGTTTCCATTGACATAACACTTCTAATTATTCCATTGCAAATGACATCCATTGAATTTGCTTCAGCAGGGAGAAATTAGGAGACTTGTGAATTGGGAACGAAAATCAAGGGGGAAAATCGCACCTCTGGAGGGGCAATCAATAAAGGAAAAATGTTTTAAGAACGTAGGTTCTTTTCACTTGACCCAGTTCTGGTTCGCACACACAGTAGAAACGGTTATTGCGAACACGTTTATAATGTATTGACGCTTATAGCGAAGTGATTTTCATTCCCTTCGACTTGAATTTGTATTCTATATAAACGTAAGGAATATATAGCGAATTACGCTCAAGAAAAATCGACAGTCCCTGGTACTTCGTATAAGCGTGTTTTACTGATGTCTTTACTTGCATTTAGATCTATAGTCGTAAATAATGAAAGTATAAAATATCTATGATATAAACAATAAAGGCATTTTTGATTTTATATGTTCAAAAATTATCTTTTTCAGTTCTCCATTTTCTATGTACTACTTCTTGTATTGTAAAGGCATTATTGAGAAACTTTGAAAACAACAAAAAAGTTTATGCAATTATAATAAAGTAATCTAATGCTAAATAGATACATTTTGTGTCTTTTATCGTTATCAAAAAAGAAAGTTCTGTCAATTTGAACAAGAAGGATTCCGTTTAACAATCGGCAAGACTAGCTAGTATGTTATCGCTTAAAAGCTATATCCTGATTCTCAAAGTCAGCAACGACCATGTATATATTGATGTTATTGATAACGTATTCCTTTCCGCTGTATATTAATCAGATGACGGATGGATATTTGATACATGTAATTGATTGATATCTTGAAGATCATTATTTCATCAAATAAATGCACGGCTTCGTAACATTTCGACAATTTTTTTTCTTTGAGAGTTTGGATAACCCTTTTAAGTTGCACGTATTTCCATGTTTTTGAAAAAAAAATGCGTTATTTCTGTTTTATTTAGGAATGGTTTCAGGTGTCATTGGATATCATTATTGAAGTATTTTTCAAGTTTTTTTAGTTTGAAAGAGAGAGAAAGAGAGTTCTTCAAGCATGGACCATACAGAATGACATCTAATTATAAAACAAACTACAATGTAAGATGAAACCCAGACACACTTTTTAGTAGAACAAAATTATGAAGATTAATATTCTTATTTCATAAACATGTTTAGTTAACAATAAAAAAGTTTATTATATCCAACGGTAGTCGATCTCAAAAATCTACAAAGCATTCTTATATGTAAACAAGTCATTGAAAAAACGAATTCCGGAAGTACAACATTTGTTGATCAATAAATTATTTAGTAAAGAAGACATTTCATATATAAATTTACAATGCATACTCTGTAATCCGATCTCATGATAATACGTCTCTGTGAAATTCAATGTTGCTATTTTATGTTATACTTTTTAGCTCACCTCGACGAAGTCGAGATGAGCTTATGCTAAACCCCCGGATCACTGCGTTAGCGTTTGCGTCAAGGTTAAAGTTTTAGGAGCAAGTCCATTCCCAAGTAACTATAAGCCCTATCTGAACCAAACTTGCATGGATGATGCATCTAGGGATGTACACTACCAGACTTGCTTCGGATGATGGATCTGACCTACATTTTCCAATGTATATTTTTGGAGCAGGTCCATTCCACAGGAACTATAAGCCCTATTTGGACCAAACTTGCATGGATTATGCATCTAGGAAAGGACACTACAAAACTTGCTTCGGATGCTGGATCTGACCTACATTTTCCAGATGAG